AACAATCATCGCATAAGTGGCCAACTAGACAGTGGCGGGACCGAAAAAGTTATTATAAAACCCAGATAAATATGAGGTAGGACGTGGAAACATGACCAGCAACAGACCGAAAATTGAAGGACATCAAAAAATAATATTTCCTGCGCCAATTATTAAAAAGTACGCAATCTGAGCCTCTCCGATGTGATGACTCCAAAATAATATAAACGATCAACCGTGCATGAGCGTATATCCAAAATTATTCGAGAAGCATTGTATAAGGTTGCCATATAACTTACGTGTGGAACACTTGGGTCCCAAATATACTAAAGAATTATTATACAACTAATATGTATGATTTAGAAATGCATTTGAACTTAAAAGGATGACTGAAAACTAAGGTTACCAAAAAAAACCCTGATAGGCAAATTATTAGAAGCAAACATGCCAACTAGAACTAAGTTATTATAAAAAATGATTTAGAAAAAAAACTTGACTGAATGAAACTAAAAAAAAAAAAAAAATCATTTAACTAAGAAATCATTTAACCAAAATTAAAAGAAATAATTAAATAAACTAAAAACTAAAGTAGACACAATAAAAAATAACGATATTACTAAAAGTGAAATTACCAAAAACTAAAATAGCAAAAAGAAACTAAAACTGAAAAAATGACAAAATAGCTAAACAAACTAAAATTGACAAGCAAACAGAAACTAAAAAAGACTAAAAGGAACATTGACACAAAAAACTGAAATATTTAAAAGCAAGAAAAATTGAAGAACAACTGATACCTAGGATTTAGGAAGACATTCAAACCCGAAAGGAACAAAAATAAACTCATAACTCATTTGAATTGGAACTAAAAGAAACAATGAAACAAAAAATAAATTTAACTAAAAGGTATATTGAAACAAAAACTAAAATATTTAAAAGTAGGAAATATTTAAGAACAACTAATATGAACGATTTAGGAAGGCATTCGAACATGAAAGGATGTGTGCAAAATTGAAAATCATAACTCATTGAACTGAAACTAAAAGAAACAATTTTATAAAAAAAGTAAAAATTTCTAAGCAAGTTATGTGGAAAGTTATATTTTGAGCAAGTAGCAAGTTATATTCTGAGCAAGTGTCAAGATACCGTGAAAATGACAAATTCGGAGTATTATGACTTCCAAACACTATCGCAACAATTTCTCAGGGTCAAATGCAAGTGACAACAACATAAAGTAGGAAAGACCAAAGGTTCTTCAACTACATGATAAATTTTGCTTGCCTAAACAGTCCCGAAACAAGACAAGCACAATATGATAGGAGAACTAAATCATTAGAACAAGCATTGCATAAGCTGCCAACCGTGAGGCAAGTTATTATACCCATTACAACAATCGAAATACATGCCTAGCCGTCTATGCTGGCTGCGGCCCCTAATCCCAACCAAAGCAGCAAACACTAATCCCAACCTAATTTGTGATCCCTAATCCTAACCTATCGTTGCGGACCCTAATCCCAGTACTTGCCTTTGGATGGTTGGTCAACACCCCATTATGAGTACAAAGTGACATACAGTGGTGATGTCTCGTTATTGGTTCAAATGGTACAAACCGAATTCGGTGCGTATGTGACAATTAGAAGTGTGGTGCTAATCACCCCTAATCAGTATGTCTACTGTAAATCTAATTGGTATCTGTATTGTAGCGCTCCTAATTAACATGGGTGAATGATCATGTGTAGCTGGACTGTCAACATAAATAGTTTCACACTTAAATACATAACTAGCTACTTCTATATAATAAAAGTTGACAGTATATAAAAATTGTTATAAAGCATATGCATCATGGATCTACTTTTGTAGATCTCATAGTAAGGAACGCAACGGTGCAAATGAAATTAAGGGGCCGTTTGGCCGGGCTCTTGCATGCTCCGGCTCTCAAACTGTAGGAGCACTGTAGCATGCAGAGGAGCCGGAGCCGGGAAGCAAAAAATACTGGCTCCGGTAGCTCCTTCGTTGTCAGTGAGAAAGAAGAGGATGATAGAGAAAAACAGCTTCTATACACAGTGCAAAGGGGCCCTAGAAATGAACATTTGGTAAGAAAGTTAGTTGAATGGCCTTAGTTCAAAACTTCAATTAGCATCTTACGTCAGCACATGCTGATTGCCTCGTATTGTTGGGCCAGACCGGATCGGATAGCGCGCTCGCCTAACATGACAGGTTTGTGGGCTCCGCCTTGTCTCCCCCGCACGTGGCTACCGAGCTAGGCCAGGCCTCCAGCCTGCTTGCGCGCTGGTCGCGCGCTCTGCACGGAGCGCGATCGGTAGCGTGCTAGACTTTGCGTTAAACAAAAGACGACGGGCCACCGCACAGACCCCCCCGGCCGCGGCGAACCGTCCCTGGTTCCGGTTGGTTGTGTTTCACTCGAATCAAATCACAGCTCTGCTTCTACCCGACAGAAGCGGGCAGCTGCAGAGCCTTCCGCGAGTGACGAGTAGGAGCATGCATGCGCGAACTGGCATACGATATTTGCCAAGGCTCTCGTGTGCCGAATACTGGCGTGTGATCCAGGGGCGAAGCCAGCTGGCAGGCACAGAATCGTCAGGGTCTTCAGCTCCTAGAAAACCCAAAAATAACTTATAATTTAGAATGGAGGGATTAACGCTTAATTTTCTAACATACTATCAGATTTAAACATCATCGCTGAATAGATATGATTAATTAGTACTCCCTCAAGTCCAGTTTATAAGGCATTTCGCGTAAATTAAGAGCCGAGCATTATAATATTTGACAAATAATTTGGCTAATAATTTTTAACTATTATAATATAAACTTAATACTATTAGATTTTGTAATCAAATGTATTATCAAGTAATCACAAATAATATAACATAAAATAAAACAAATATTTAAAGTGTAATGCAGAAGACCGTGTCATATTTGACTACACCTTATAAACTGGACCGGAGATAGTAGATTGGATCATGACACACATACCACAGGTGGTGATAGAGGAGCGATGATGTTGCTGATAATGTTGGCAAAGACGGGTCCAAGCAGTAGACGGCAGAGAGGACGGTAAGCATCGTTTGACTTGGATGGAAGACAAGCCATCGTGTAGATCGTCAATCAGTCACGCGAAGCCACTTCTCAAAACTTTATCCGCCCTCTCCTGGTGTAAGACCACAAGGGTGAGCGAGTTAGGAGGCCTGCTCTCCCAATCGCCAATGCACACAGACGTTAGGATGGACAGAACGATAGCGACACAACAAATGTTCGGGATGGAGAGACAACGACGACGGCGCAACAGCGAAAAAAGAGGCAAAACCCTAACTTGAATAGATGTGTTTTGGTGGTGGTCGATAGATTGTATATATAGGGAGGAGGTCGCGGGCTTAATTTCGATGGAGCTTTCACACTAGCTCATTCGCCATGGCACCGGCCCAGCCTGGTGAGGTGAAAGAGCAAGCACGTGTTGTCTCTCCCACACTAGATTTGGTGAAGTAGAAAGGCAAGACTAAAGTTCCACCACTTTCTTCATATGTATACATGAATGGGTATTTGAGTTTTATTTAAAATAATTAGAGATTGTCTTTGGGCTAAGATTATTTATCGCAACACTTGGTGCCACTCGGATCACATTTTCGCTTTCACCCACCGAAAGCGGTGGTGGCCGTTACATAACTATTAGTCCTTCACAAACCACGAGGGGCGCACACCATTTGACATTTGGCAGGTTTGTTTGGATGTTGAGAAACCGTGGCGGGCACTTATCTATGACTCATAGAGTCATAGATTTTTCAGGATCTCAAGCAAACAAGTTCACATAGCCTAGCATTGACATCAATGTCTTTTACACACTCCCTCTATCCTAAAATAGATACACATCTTATTTTCCAAGTTAAACTTCTTTTAAGCTTGACTACATCTATAGAAATCAACATTTGTATATCCGTTAACATGTTTATTATAAAATATTTATTATTAATCTAATGATACTTATTATATATATTATAATAAATGCTAATATATTTTTAATACATATTTGATAAAACTTATAAAATTGGCTTCTCTAGAAATAGGATGTGCTCATGTTTTGTGAGGGGGTACACGATTGTCCGTGCTTCGCAATCCACGACCACAAGGACCATGCATGAATTTGCATTTGGCCGTCTCAGTCTCATGTGCCCAACACAGGGGCTCTCGGTGGCGCTCGATTCACAGCACTGCTGCCGAAAGCGGGCAACAGTCGAGGGCTCGAGCCTCGAGGCACACGGCACACCGCAAAGCCAACGCACGAATTGGCATTTGGCAGGTAAGGCACGGCTGCACGGGCTGGTCCGGCAGGCCGACATTCTCGTATGCCGAAACGCTAGGGCATAGGGCTAGGTGGCTCGTTACAGAAGTGTTCTAATTTGACTTGTTTTTCTTTTAATAAAAATGACTTGATTTGGAATGATTTTTGACTTTGGCTCGGCTTGTTAGGCTCAACTCGATAAGCTTAGCATGAAGCTAAGTCTCAAACAATTCAGGAGACTATAAATAAGATTATGCTAATTTTTAGAAAAGCTAAAAAAAATGGACTTGGTTCGATATACAGCCCTGCTGGCGCACTAGGTTCTGTAGAGCCGAGCGCCGGTGCCGCACAGTCTAGTCTTGTATCGACACCGCCGCATAAAATTTTCTTCCCGATCGCACGAGGCTCGGGTCGGTCGGTCGCGGACCATACGCAACGCACACGGGAAAGGAAAGCCCGTTAGCCCCGTCACGCCGAGGATGGACCGGCACGCGCGGCCCAATTCCTGAGCTGCTTCGTCGAGAACCTCTCTCTCTCCTCTCCTCGCAAGTCCCGAACACGGCTCCGCCTCCGCGTCTCAGCAACCTCTTCCGTCTCCAGCGGTTTTCCAACCAAACCGTGTGATCCGTCCGACCTCGCTTCGCTCGCTCTCGCCGGAGGCCCGGAGCTCTCCACCTCCAACGACCCAGCCCCCCACTCCACCCCCGCGCGGACAGCGCTCGCGGCGCCGATGGAGTACGACTTCCGGGGGAGCCGTTTGGGCTCGGGCTCGGGCCCCTACGGCGCGCCTCCGGGGGCCGCGCCCGGGGCAGGCTCCTCGCTCTACCCGCGCGTCGGGCAGCCCTCCCACGGCGGGGGCGGGGCCTCCACGGCGTCGCCGCGGGCCGCGCCATACCACCACGGCTCCGGGTCCTCGGCTCCCGTCGTAACGCCGCTCGCTCCAACCTCCTCCTCCTCCTCGAGTAATTCTCTCCCTTTGCCGCTTGGTACTCATAATATATGGTATCATAATATCTGATTAATTCACGGGTGGTTGTGCTTGGTCCCGGATCGAAGAACTGCTCGCTATGTACTCGATGGAATGTAGCATGGTGGATCGACTGTCGGCTTAATTGGATGTTTTTTTTTGTGGCTGTTAGGTTAGCAGATCTCTTTTTGGTTGGGGTTCTAATTGTTGGGATCACGATGAGGGAACTTACTAAATCTACCTTTACACTGGCCAGTCGTAGCACACTTGCCTTTGTTCATCTGTTAATTGCCTGCAAGTCGACGCAAGCTGTGTTACTCCTCTAGGGCATGCTGTGCAGTAGAAATGGCTGCAGATTCGAGTGATACAAGCTGCTCCAAAATTTAGTTTCACCTTGAATGTCTTGCGACAGGTGTTTTTGGTGCAACTAAGTTGCGGACTAAGACATGAAACGGTTATGCACAAGCCAAGGTGATTTAAGAATAGTTTTTTTTTTTGTGTGTGTTGTACTATAGTATCTATGTTCGCATACACTTGGCAAGGAACACAACGGTGTCAGATGCCAAATGCTTATGAAATGGTTGCGTAAATATTTATTATGCATCCTCTTGTCAACATAATGGAAGTTGATAAGACGCTAGACTTTCCTAGGCGTATGTATGTATTTTAGTTTTGTAATTACTGAACACTGCAAACCAGTTGGTAATGCATTAATTGTGTTTCTTTGTTTGTTTTGCTGCTTCCATCATGCCAAAAACAAAAGAGACAGCAAACTGCTTTCTAGTGTTCTCTGATTTGCTTCTGTCAACAACAGTTTGTGTTCTAATAGTATTGTATTCTTATTGCACAGAGGTGGGCATACAAGTTACGATAAAGCCTGAATTCCGCATTGCCCCACCTGTGAGTAATTTAATTTAATATTGAAGTACATTTTGTCTTGTATTGTCAGGAACCACTATTCCACTAATCTGCTGTTAGATACAGAAGTGTTACTTCAGTGAGATTACACTCTTGCCTAGCTGTTAGACAAATGTTTGTACGCTGTTAATTCATGTCATTTTGAAAAAAAAAAATATATCATATATATAAATAAGAAATTTTTAGACTGCTGATAACTAAATCCAACAGGAGATGTTTTTTTAAAATAGTTTTTTGTTTCATATGGGGCAGTCTATGGAAGGCAAATTTGCTTTATCTGTTGTTAGTCAAGTTTAACCGCCGAGTGATGAACCATTAACAAATCTTACAGGTTTATCTAATTCTCAATGGACAATAACCCTTTTCTCCCAGCTTGTTGTAGATCTACCTAGTGCAGCTTATTCCATGATGAGTGGACAGCTTGGGATGAAATTGTGTCTAAACAATACATGGAATTAAGATCTGTGCTAGTAATTCTGTTCTCTAGAAAATTTGCAGATGGCTTCTGTTAATTGTTCAGCTGCTGTGCTATTTATTGGTTGTATATAACCTTGGTGTTATAGTTTGCAGTCAAATGGTTTGAAATGTATGAGAACGCAATTCATACTATATGTGGGTCTGTCAAAGTGTCGCTACTGCATGTAGGGCCTGTCTAGTGTTTATTGTGTTCCTAGAAATGCACTCTATCATTCTTCAATTCTGTTTACATTTTATCGTTATTGAGATAACTCTGTGGTTAAGTGGCATTAAGTGTGTGCTATTCAAGCTTAACTCATTCACCTGTTGTATGTAGGGAATTCATTATCTTCTAATTAGTGTTATCTTTTCAGCCTCAATTGCCACCACAGATGGTAGAAATTCCTCGCAGCACCTTCAACTTTGATTTTGAGTATGAGAGAAGGATTCTTGCTGAGGCAGAGAAGGAGAACCCCAACTGGACTAAATTCGTGGTAGAAAGACAGGCACCACTTCCTGTGGCACAGCAGGCAAGATACAGATCCTTCTATTTCTTTCTTTCTTTCACAAGTCTATTAGTATCATTAACCATTACACGGCTACCATTAGCTAATGTTTCTACAAGTGCCTAGCTTGGGAAAAGGACCTTAAGTTGTGTATAGACTTATTTTTTGTTATTGATGTTGGCTTAATTGCAAGCTTTCCTAGCGTGACTTGTACCCACTGCTATTGTAATTTTGCCCTCGCACCATTTTTTTATAAAGGTTTTCCCAGCCTTTATAGAAAGCATACAAGAGACCGTACAATGCAATCATGATGGGGCTACCAGCTTACAAAAGAGAACAGCAGTGCTCAAAACATGAGCAGCAAAACCACCTCTTTACACACCAGAACACAAATATAAACATCAACTACTTCAAGGTATCTTCAGAAGATACAATATGATTCGGCAAATGGAATGTTGCCACCCAAGTCTTGACTTGCTCAGCCTGCCCATCCATCCTAGAGCTGACCTTCGGTCTTGGCAGAACTTGCCATTTCTGCAAAAATAACAAAAGTTTGTATAGACTCTCAGGGGGATTTGGGGAATTTATGCTCAATTGCCATTTTATTTCTAACAGTCCAGAGACCCCAAGCAATGATTGTGTAAAGAAAAGGCTTATAATTGTAGCAACTGCCTGACCAAGGCAGCCAGGACTCGTGAAACTCCTTCATGTTAGATGGCACCCTATCCCACCCCATTCCCCAATGATTCTTTGATGCAGTACCATATGAAGTTTGCCAATACACACTGGAAAAGAACATGGTTGACATTCGTTGGTTTCTACAAAGAACAGAATTGCTGCACCCCTTCCACTTCTTTTGTTTTAGCTCAGTACCAGTCTGCAATCTGTCCTGAAAAGCCAACCATAGGAAGATTTTGATTTTCAGGGGCATTTCGTTTTTCCTTAGTTTCCTGGCACTCGTACTGTTTCTCCTCATTGTCAATTTTTGTTGATGTCTGGTTTGCTGTATAATGTGCGTTAGTTGAAAGACTAGAAGTATTTTGGAATTTGATTATTGAAGCAACGATAAATCAATACTGCAAATGACATAGCTGAACCTGTTGAAAGACTTGAATTTCTCTTCTCAGAAGGGCTTTTGATCAGTTTGTGTAATTTGAATAGTCCAACCTTGTGATTCATTTTAGGTTCCTCACTAACCTTCATCCGTTTAACATGATGCGTGGTGCATGCCAGCCAGATGTTTGAAACAAATTCTATTGATAGAATTACTGACATTCCCAGTTTCATTTTGCAGGCTAGACCTGCATCTTCAGGGGATCCAGTTGTCGACAGGTATGTCTCAATGGGGCTTGGGCGTGAAGCTGTCTCATTTGCGGTGTTGAATTATGGAGATAATCCAACAAAGGTATGCTCTTTCCCCCTTGTTGTATTTTCTTTCATACTGCTTTCAGCACCACTTAATCATGAAAAAATGGCTTTCTAATAGCTAAAGGTTCTTCAATGCCAATAACATAACTATGTACATCTGGATTTCTGGGCAATTAAATACACATTTTCATGTTTCATCCACTAAGGGCGCGTTTGGATAGACGCCCTCATGTGCCCAACCAAAAATTGGCCTTTCCGTAGGCAGGATTGAGAGTTTGGTTCCCAGCTGCGTTCATCATGTGGCCAACGCGCAGTTCACTTTCCGGCTGATGTGCGGCCGCCAATTCAGCCACCTAAATTTGGCCAGCCAACTATTAGGCAGGGCACAGAACGGCAGCAACCAAACGTACCCTAATTCTTTTCTTTACAAAGACTACAGTTGTCTTCTTGTCTTGTCAACATTATTATGTTTTGTCATGATCTTCCAAGAGATGAGTCATTGAAATATTAGTCTGTTATAGGAGTTTGCTCACTCATTCATGATTATCAACTGCCATTCACCAGTACTGCTCACTTCACTTAATATGGTTAGCATGTTTTTTCATGACGTCAGTTAAGATGAGACAATTCCTGGTTAGCAATTTAGCAAATTTGCACTGGAAATAATGAAAGCAGAGCATAGAAGCAAGGTCTTTTTTCCAAAGAGTTTTGATAGGAATGAGAAAAGAAATGCATACAGTCAACAACAAGCCAATTTGTTATGCAGAAAAGAATAATTTGCTGTTTGGTAATTGCACATAAGTGGCATAAATAAAGGGTTTAAATAAGGAGTTTTGTTACGGTGCTTGGGAGGAACCACCGGTTCCTCCCGTTAAAATTATTTACTGCAGGTCTTAATTAAGAAAATTAATCAATTATAATTAAGGGCAATTTAGTACTTTTCCTACTCTACACAATCTCAACTCCCCCATCCAATTCGACGAACGAAGTTCCCTGCTTCGCGAGATCTCGCGCTTCCCAACTCGCCGCCTCGCCGCCTCCCAGGTCGTTGGATCACCGCCAATCGCGTCGGCGCCGCACTCGACGCCGATCCAGTCCTCGACGCCGATCGTAACGCTTCTCACGGCCGGCATCATGGTGCCGATGACCGTGGAGCACTCGAACAAGAAGCAGGTTGTGGCAGTGTTACGTGACTGAGCTTAAAGAGGACGTTGACGCTTACAGTGGCTGCGAGGAGCTGCTCCAGCAGCTGCTCAACCTGTCCGCCAACGTCACGTCCATGCTGTTCGGCGGCTGGTTTGGTTTGGCCTTCTTCTACTTCCCGAACAACCCAGAGGAGGCCCGCGACACGCGGTTCCTGCCCTCCGAGTACCTCACGCGGTCACGCCTTCACCTCCATCGGGGCGTCGCTGCACGCTGCTGCTTGTCAAGGCTGTCCCTCAGAGGATTGTGCAGTGCCCGCGACCGATGAGAGAGCTCATGGTGCTGACATGCGTGCTCGTCTGCGGCGTCGTGAAGACGGCGTTCGTCATCGCGGTGACCAAGGTGCGTGGCTATGCGGCGCTCGCGCTCGCCTCGTCCTCGAAGCCGTCGCTGCCAGCGCTTGGTGCGTGCGATGGCGAGGGACTGGTGGTCGCTGCCGGTCGCACAGGGAGACAAGGGGGTAGAAAGTACTATTCTATCGTTAAAATTTATTTTGAAAATATTTTTTGACTTATATATTTTTGGTTTCGGGCCCACATATTTTAGGTTTCTGGCCCATAACTTAAGTTTCTCTACATTGGTTCTTCTTATTTTATAGCCATCTGATATATCTAAATGAATGGCTCTAATTTTTTCAAAGCACAGTAAAATTTCACTTAAATAAATAGTATCAAACTGACAAGTACGAACCTTATCTTGTGCCCAGGTGAAGGAGTTCGTGAAATCCTACAACATCCTCCACGAGATGGGCTTCACATCGCCAAACGTCCCCGAGCTGCTAGCCATCCACGACAACGACCCCGACAAGGTCATCCAGCGCCTGCTCTCCTCGCCATCCTGATCCCAGAACAAGACGCCTCGCATTTGTATACCGCATCCATCATGTACAGCCCTGCCCTACGCTGGCAACCATCACAGATGATGTGGTTCTACTTCGATATACGTGTTAGCTGCCGCTAGCTCTGTGAACCGAGTAACACGCTTTGTATGTTGTACTTGTATACCTTCACCCGTTTGGTGTTTTTCCTTAAAAATGTTTTTGCACCGTTTCATTCACGTTTGAATCTTTTCTCAGCCTATATATATTATTATAAAATGATTGCTTGGATGGTGATTCTCGTCGAGAAACGTCATGTACTTGTCTTCGTCCGTATATCCATTGGCTGGCTAGTTCGTCGTTTTTCGGCAGTTTCGTTGCACACCTTAGCGTCGTCCTCGGCTCGTCTCGGATTGCTGCTCGGCGAGGAAAATGATCGCTTGCTCTAGCGCAAGCGCAATGGTGGTATCCAGTTATCCGCTCGTGCTGTGGCGTGATCAGTTATTCAGCAGTCTCTACACTCTACTGCAATATTGCATGGACATGACCTTCAAAAAAAAAAAAAATACTGCGTGGACATTCCCCTGTCTGGTAAGAGGATACAACGCTATAGCAGCAGCGTACGAAATCTATGTCCAAAACATCTGTCGGTCGCTGGGCTCCCCTTCACAGCAGCGTGACTGGCGATTCTGCAAATCTCCTATACAGGAGAGAGAAATTAGGTGGTGCTTCACTGGACAGCATGGACAGCAAAGCATGACGCGTGAGCAAATACTAGACGTACTAGTCTACCAGTACAGTATCTCTAGTGACGGCACTGCAGTTTTGTCAATTGTCATGGCATCACGGCGGCGGCGGCGGCGGCGGCAGCGGCCGTCGTCTCCTTCCCCGTGCAGCCAAGCTCCAGCTCAACGGTAGCAATCCCAAAGATAGTTTTTATTACGAAGGGGTGACAAATTTCCATCTCAACAGCAGGAACTGTGCCGCCTACTTAAACGCGCCATGTCTCCACCGTTCTCTACACATCGACACGCACGGATGCAGATTGGTTGTCGGTGCACGATGAGGACCGTATGGCCGCTGCTCCTCGTGGCGACGGCGCTGTGCTGTGCCTCCCCGGCGGCGAGGGCCAGGAGCTGCAATTTCCCTGCCGTCTTCAACTTCGGCGACTCCAACTCCGACACCGGCGGCTTCTGGGCCGCCTTCCCGGCGCAGCAGGGCCCGTTCGGCATGACATACTTCGGCAGGCCAGCCGGCCGCGCCTCCGACGGCCGCCTCGTCATCGACTTCATAGGCACGTACCTCCTGGCTCCTGCAGGCTGCACTACACGCATCGCGTGCATCATATCCATGGCTTCTGTTTCTGAAATTTTTTTCTGAAAAAAGTTGGTGTTTGTCCGACCAACAGCGCAAGCGATGGGGCTGCCGCTGCTGAGCCCGTACCTGCAGTCGATAGGGTCGGACTACCGGCACGGCGCCAACTTCGCGACGCTGGCGTCGACGGTGCTGCTGCCAAACACGTCGGTGTTCGTCACCGGGACCAGCCCCTTCTCCCTCGGCATCCAGATCAACCAGATGAAAGAGTTCAGGAACAGAGTGCTCGCCTCCAATTCCAAAGGTAACAACGGTATGCCACAGTACTGAACCCTGTCTCTTTCAGTCAAGCCGCTGAAGAGGGAAGACTATACTTAGAAATATGCTCTGAACTTCTTTGTTTCAACAACAAAAAAAATGTTTCAAAAAAAACATGCTCTGAACTTCAGAGTTCAGACAGGAATGTTCAGAGATGCTTGGTTGCTTTGCAGGCCAACTCCCTCGCCCGGATGTCTTCGGCAACGCTCTGTATACAATTGACATCGGACAGAATGATTTTACCTCAAACCTTGGATCCCTCGGTGTCGAAAGCGTCAAGAGAAGTCTACCTTCAATCGTCAACCAGATCTCCTGGACAATACAGGCAAGTACTGTAGTAGAATCATCTGCTACTTCAAGTTGAATTATTGAAATGATCAAAAGATCAGAGGAGATTCAGTTGATTCCATGGTCCATGCATATTTTGTCTGATAGGACTTGTATAACATCGGAGCTCGCAACTTCATGGTGTTCAACATGGCGCCCATAGGATGCTATCCGGCATTCCTCACGGAGCTTCCTCATAACAGCAACGACTTGGATGAATTTGGATGCATGAAAAGCTACAACAGTGGAGTGACATACTACAACCAGTTACTGAACAACAGCTTAACCGAGGTCAGAAAGAAGCTGCAGGATGCGTCGATCGTGTTTGTCGACAAGCATACTGTAACGCTTGAACTGTTCCGACACCCAACTGCTCACGGTAAGCTCTCCTAAATATTGGCACTGCAAATTTGGTTCATATTTACATCCAATGGAAAAATTGACTGATCTGGTGCTCATCCCAGGGCTGAAGTACGGGACTAGAGCTTGCTGTGGATATGGCGGTGGAACGTACAATTTCAATCAGCATGTTTACTGCGGAAACAGCAAGGTAGTGAACGGCAAAACTGCAACGGCAGGGGCTTGTGGAGACCCACAAAACTATGTCAGCTGGGATGGGATACATGCCACTGAAGCTGCAAATAACAAGATAGCATATGCAGTGATCAGCGGCTCCTATTCGTATCCACCTTTCGATCTTTCAAAGCTATGTAGCCCTTAGGCATCATCTAGTCAGACATACAGTGTTGTTGCCATCATAGAACATATCTCTTGTAAAAGATGATAAGATAGCAGCACTGATGTGTTAGGAAATAATTGGGTTTAAACTTCAAGCACTGAACCAAGAACGACTGAATGAGGATTGAGGATGGCATGTAGTAGTTTCAGTCGTGCAGGATTGCTACATGTGGTACTTGTTAGATTGAAATTGAATAGAGGAGTATGTTGTTACGAGTTCAGACTTTAGATCACAGTTCACTCCCAAATGCAAGTGCAATTCCTGCAAACAAATTCCAGATACTGATTCACAAAAACCACTTGACACAACACAGTTCAACAATTGTGCTCTTAATGCTAGCATAATTTCCAGACTAAGGTATTAAGAGATCAAGATACACTCTGAAATTAGAGTATAAGCAGATCACTACCACTCAATCTCAACCCTTCGGCACTCACCAACACATAGCAAAATAAAACAAGAGACATCTAAATAATAATAGGCAAGGTCATGCCATTGCTAGTTGTTTCACTTGCACTTGTACTAAACCACAACAATTCAACAAATTATACTTGTTATAAATAGTTAACATAATCAGTTGACAGTGCAGGTCAGAACATCACATCTTACTGCACAGGCTGCAAATACAGTAAGTTTCAATTTCTTATTCAAAAGGCCTACTTTGTTAAGCATTTTCTTTAATGGTTAAATAAAGATAGATCCACCTTCTTAATCAACAGTTTACTAGGAATTGAATCTTACAAAAAATACAAAAACCATTGCAAGCAAAAAGTATCCACCTGCCACAATTTAACAAGGCCCATTCCAAGCATGCATTCAGAAAGCAAGCACCATCATCAGTAACCACATCGTGAAGAGAAGCTTAGATCAGTGCATTTCTCTGAAACAGGTAGGCATACTTCATTGATAGCATTAACACACAGGACAAAACTACAAACTTTTGAACAACGCAGACCCTAGAACATGACGAGAACAGATGCTAAACGCAGACCTAGAATAGATATGCTAGTAGTGATAACCAAGCGCGGCGAGCGAAACGCCTAAGCGCGCTCCCCGCGGATGCGGCGGGCGAGCTGGATGTCCTTGGGCATGATGGTGACGCGCTTGGCGTGGATGGCGCAGAGGTTGGTGTCCTCGAACAGACCCACGAGGTAGGCCTCCGCGGCCTCCTGCAGCGCGGCGACCGCCGAGGACTGGAACCGGAGGTCGGTCTTGAAGTCCTGCGCGATCTCGCGGACCAGGCGCTGGAACGGGAGCTTGCGGATGAGCAGCTCCGTGCTCTTCTGGTACTTGCGGATCTCGCGCAGCGCGACGGTGCCCGGGCGGAAGCGGTGCGGCTTCTTCACGCCGCCGGTCGCCGGGGCCGACTTCCGCGCCGCCTTGGTCGCCAGCTGCTTCCGCGGCGCCTTGCCGCCCGTGGACTTGCGCGCCGTCTGCTTCGTGCGGGCCATCGGGGTCGGGTTGGGAGTGGAGGGGGCGGGTGGGTGATTTGGGCTCGGAAACGAGTGTCTTCGGGAGAATATGGTGTGGTGCCTGGAGTGGGGATTCGTCGGGGGGTTGGGTGCGTTTAAGTAGCGGTGGGATTTCGGGAATTGGCGCGCGGCTTGAAATTTCTTTGCGGTTTTGGGCAAAAATTCGGGGGGTTGGAGGGATCCGGGGAGCGCGGCCGCGGGCGATAGGGGAGCGCTTGGATCAGGGTGTATTTGACGGTGGAGATGCCTCTGCAGCGCTGCCACGGATCGCGATCCGCGTGTCTGGCCGCCGTGTGTGGTGTTGGACTGTTTGGGGCTTCCGCTTCGGGCTGGCTGTGTCCTCTTTGCCCGTCTTTTTGAAAAAGTCAGTTACTTCGTTCAACTTTTGCGAAAATCCGTTTTTTCTCTCGAAACTTCAAAATCAGACAAAACACATTCCTCAGCTTTTAAAACTGTTTATCTTACCTCCTTAGCCTGGTTATAAGCGGTTTTGAAGACGATTTTGTCTTTCGTCTTTTTTATTTATTATAGTTGAATCTTTAAAAAATTATAGTAAATCATATAAAAAATATAAAACAAAAAATTTAATTTTGTTGGACTCCACATGAGCAGATCTACACAGTGAATATATAATATAGTATGCTTTAGTACAAAGTTTTTTTTATAACTTTAGATCTATGCTTTTTTTAATTAAATGGAATAATTCATAGCTGTAGTTTTTATGGTCTAATTGTGGTGAAATTTTTATAGTGGACTAATTATTGTATGATTAAATTGTAGTAAAAAATTCATACTCATTGGATTATGTATAACTTAGTTATAGATTTTATTTAGGTTTATGCTTGTTAAATATAAATAAATCTATAACTAAGTTATACATGATCCAATAAGGATGAAATTTTTACTACAGTTCAATCATACAATAATTATTTCACCATAAAAATTTCATCACAATTGGACCATAAAAACTGCAGCTATGAATTATTCCAATTAATTACAGAAAAGCATAAATCTAAATCCACAGAAAAAAAAACTTTGTACTAAAGCATACCATATTATATGTTCACTGTGTAGATCTACTCATGTGAAGTCCAACAAAATTAGATTTTCTATTTTATGATTTTTTGTGATTTACTATGATTTTTCAAAGATTCAGCCCGAATAAATAAAAAAGAAAAAGACAAAACTGCCTTTAAAATTGCTTATAACAGGGTCAGGGAGGTAAGATGAATGGTTTCAAAAGTTGAGGGGTGTGTTTTGCCCGGTTTTGGAGTTTAGGGAGAAAAAGTGGACTTTCCTGAACGTTGAGGGAGGTAATGTAGATTTTATTTCTTTCTAATTTTGCTGCGCAAGAAGATAGGGCCCGTTTGAATATTGTTCACGCCTGATAGGCCAGCCTACGAAAGTACCAGGATGGGTCATTAGGCCCATTTCGAATTGTGCTGCACAAAGCCCGTGTTTTGTGCAGATTAGTGGCCTGAAGCCCACTATACTTCATATTATTATTATTATTATTATCATCATTATTATTATTATTATTATTATTTATTGCAATTTATTTCTCGTATTTATTTAAATCCTGCAGATTTATTTATTGCAATATATATTATTTATTTAATCATAAAGTAATCTCGGAGATTACACCTAGGAAGCTTTTGTATAGTCTTGAAGACTATACCGAGTTGTAATCTTAAAGATTACGCACTGACATTCACTAACCTGTACATTGATTGTGCAGGCATGTCGGACATCGCAAAGAGGGATTTTGAAATGCTCACCATGGACGACAACAACTACCTCACTTGGGCTACCGATGTCGAGATCAAACTCGACGGCATGAGCCTCAATCATACCATTGTCGAGCCCGAAGCTGACAAAGATGAGCGCAAAAAGCCTGACAAAGCAAAAGTGTTGCACTACCTATGACACCATCTCCACCCAAACCTGAAGTGTGAGTATATGACGGAGAGGGATCCACTGGTCTTATGGCAGTCCTTGAAGGACCGCTTCAGCCAACAGCTGACGATTGTGCTCCCCGGAGCACAACAGGATTGGATCAATCTACGCTTTCAAGACTATAAGTCTGTGGTAGCGTATAACTCTCCTTTGCACAGGATTGCGACCAAAGCTGCGTCTATGTGGCTAGAAGATCACTAATGCCAATATGATCGAGAAGACTCTATCCACCTTCCACCCGGCAACATAGTACTACAACAGCAATACATGAACTCAAAGTATAGGAAGTACTCTGAGTTGAGTGAAGTAGTATCTCTTGCTCAACAACAGAATGAAGTCCTCGTGAACAATCATTCTGCCCGGCCTACTAGTTCCATGGCTATGCCTAAAGCACATGCCAATGTTGCTGAGAGTTCTCGCAACCGCAGTAGGGGCCATGGAAAGGGGAAGTGGAAGGGAAGGAGAGGTGCCATGTTCAAAGGCAAAGGAAAGGGAAAGCCCAAGGGTAGAGTCAGACCCAAGAAGGAAAAGGGTGACCACAATGGGGAAGAGCAAGGCGATTGCTATAGATACGGAGCAAAAGGGCATTGGTCCCGTACATGCCGCACCCCCAAACACCTTGTTGACCTTTACCAACAGAGCAAGAACAAAGGAAAAGGTCAACATGAGTCTCACTTCACCACTGAGCCTGAAGCTTAGCCTGAGAAGCCGACAACATGCATGTCAATGCAAATGGTGGAGATGTCCAAATGGATGAGAGTGAAGACGACCTTCTTGAAAATGACATTGATATATATGGAGGTCTGTAGTAATCTCCAAAATATCATGCCAGCCAAATGCGATGTCCACATATGTTAGTTTTATTTCTATGAGGTTTGACCATGCATGCTCCCGTTGAGCATTTGTAACATGGTAGATGGTCCAAACCCTCACAATGTTTTCTAGGAATTATGTAATGTTGTTTTCTCATAATATATGCTTTATGTTAAATTCCTTTTTCCTTTATGGTATTTAACAAAACTTGTGGGAACCCTATGGCTGAAGCAAAAATCTATCTGGTAGACAATGGCACCACAAATACGATATTACAGGAAACTAGATATTTCCAAACATTGACAAAGAAAAATGGAAATATTGTGACCATTGTCGGGAGCAATGCTCATATCATGGGCACCGGAAGTGCCACACTGGCTCTCCCTATGGGTACTCAAATCTTTGTGAAGGATGCACCATTATATCCTGACTCAAAGCGAACTCTTTTGAGCTTCAAAGATATCCGCGTGAACTGTTTCCATGTAGAAACCGAGATTGAGCAAGGTGCTGAATACCTGCTCATCACTAAATTCGACGGGTACCAAAAGTGAGTGGTGGAAAAGTTCCCTTCATCGCCATTGGGTTTGTACTACACATACATAAAACCCACTGAAGGATATGTTGCGATGAAAATCATATTCAGAAACACAAAATCATTTTGGATATGGCATGACCGATTGGGTCATCCTGGGTTGAGTATGATGAAAAGGATCATCAACAATTCTGCTAGCCATGATGTCA